TTCTTTTGTCGCTTCTTTCTTCTATTTTTTTTTTTTTTTTAATTTTTTATATATATATATATAGAGATACGCTACCGTTTATCTGCCCATTCTCTTACATATTTATTTTATCTTTTCTTCGACGGTAACACATCTCTACTGTACAGTACCGTATATATATATATATATATTTATATATATCAACAACTAATTAATTTCTCGTAAAACGTTAGTTTTTTTTTTCTTTTTTTTATCTTTATGTACTCGTGCGGATAAGGCCACAATTAGTGTTTTTTTCCGCGTGTGCGTGTAGCACACTCGTCCGGCATGCGTGTGTAGATGCGTGTGATTCTTTTTCTTTCTCTTTCTGTTGTATATTTTATTTTATTATCATTATTGTTTTTTTTTTTGAACTTTTTATTATTTTTATTCAATTTGACGTGGTTGATGCAAAAATGCTCGCGAACTTATATCGCGCATTCGCGAATATATATAATTGGGCTCGCGTGAAGAGTTAAAATTATTCTAAGAATAGAAAGGTATATAGGAAAGGTAAAAATTTAGTTCATAATCTTTGGACTATAACGTAAATTTAAATCTCGTGTGTCGAACTTTTTGAATCTTTAACATTTTTCACTCATTCTCAACAACTATGCACCCGAGCCCCATCGTTTTAATTAGTCGTTCGTTATATACTCGAATTTTGCACGAGTGTTACTGTACAATATCGCAGAGCGATAGAGATAGAGATAGGGGGAGAGAGAGAGAGAGAGAGAAAAGGGTGTAGTTTTCTCGCGCATGTAAAGGCATCGTGTTGATGTGTATGTGTATAATTGTTCGTGTTTGTGTTCGTGTATATGTGTGTGTGTGTGTGTGTATACGTGTGAGTTTAAGTTAAATAAAAGTAATATTATCCATATATCAAATTTAGTTCCGTAAGAATATATAGGATCCATCTATTTTTTTTTTCCTCTCATTTTTTTCATTTTTATTCCTCGCGTTTATTCTCGTCGCGCTCTTTTCTATCATTGTGTACAAAGCGAAAAGAAGAAGAAGAAGAAAAACAATAGCGTTAAATAACGTCACGACAGTACGTAGCTTCGTTCCATTCTCCAATCGATACAATTACAACAACTCGATCCACGTTAATTAAGACGATTTGATTCTCGAATTTTTCTTCAACGAAGTTTCTGCGAATATTTTATATTCGCTCGTTCGACATTCCGTTTAACATCCCGGTTCTTTTGGCCTCTCCTCGATCACGATCAATCGCGCGAGGAAGAAACAATCGGAATCGCAAATGTGAATCTAAAAAAAAGGCCTCTAAAAAACTACGAAGCTAGCAAGTACCCCCGTGTCAGCTCGCGTTCCCTTCGCTTCGAGAAAATTTTCGCCGCGCGAAAACTCGGCACTAAAGTGCCAGAGAGAAGAACAGAGAATTATCCGTTTTACCCGTTTCGAAAAAATTGTTGCGGAAGGATATATTTCTTTTTCCCCCTTCGATAAAAAGTACAGCATTTCTCACTGCTATGGACACGTATAATATATAATATATATTTCCTGAAAATATAATATCGAGGAGATAAGAGAAATACGGTAATTTTTATCGCGATATCCTCTCTGTTCCAGAGGTGGCGAACAAACTCGACTCGATCATCGTCAAAATTGATCTAGACTTTCCCTTTTCCCGAAGCGGGGAGTCTCATCTTTTTTCTTTTTTTTTTTTTTTTTTTTTTTTTTTTTTTCTTTCAAAGGCAAAAATCTTAGCGAGGATATATATTATACATATTCGCGTTATTACAAGCTGGACACCGTTGATGAATCTCCTCGATTCAAATTCTCCTTCCCCCCTCTTCCCTCTCCCTTCCTTCTCGTCCGTTTCCTGTTCGCCCGATGTTGTTCCACGATCGGAATGGCGAACGTTTACATGAGCTTCATCTTGGCGCAATCGGGGCAGATGATGTCTTCGCCGTCGGTGATGAAACCGCGGCCGACCAGCGAGGTCTTGCAACCCGCGCAGATGAAACAGTCGTTGTGCCAGTGCCTGTCCTCGAAAGAGATGAAGCGAGTTCCGCCGATGCCTGGAAACGAATTCGAAACGGAGGCGGGATTTCAGAGGAGAAGGGAAAATAAAATATATAGAAATAAATTTTCGAAGAAACGTGGTGGATACCTGTGATCGGTTTGGAGCAGGCGGTGCATCTCTTGGCGAACAGTTCTCCGAAACAATCGGCGCAATAGGGCTTGTCGTCGCGAGACGTGAATCGCTGGCCAGCCAGGGAATTGTTACAGTTGCTACAGGTGAAGCAGTCTCTGTGCCACGGCTCGTTCTTGTACGTTACCCCACCGCTGGTGATGATCTGAAAACGATAAAAAAAAAAATCTCTCTTCATCTTTTCCATCTTTTCTCCATCGCCTTCGAGGTGAGGCGAGCAAATGGAAAAGTTTTCTTCTTCGGTTATAAACGGCGCGATGCATTCTTCGGAAAGGATCGGGAAGGCATTTTAAATAATTTAAAATAATAGATAGAGAAAATAGAGATAATCCATTGGATTATCACCTTGTTGCACTTAACGCATCGAGTGGCAAACTTGTCCTCGTAGCACGCGGCGCAATAGATCTCTTGCTCGCGCGGGATGAAGCTCTTGGTCCCGATCGGGTTCTTGCACACCACGCAGCAGAAGCACTTCTCGTGCCACTGCCTGGTCTTGTACTCCATCTTCTTGGTACCTGGAGAAGATAAGAAGAAAAAAAAACCCTTTTTTTTAACTTCCAAACCTTTCCCTCCAATGTCGATCGCACGCGATTTCAAGGAAGAAGTAGGGGTGGAATATTTTTTGAAAGTTTTACACGACCGATTCGTTTGCATCGCGTGCGGCGCCTCGCGTGTTCGAGCTAATTCTCCATCCGCCGGATGAATTTTCCGGCGATAAAGGAAGGAAAATCCCTCGAGCAATCCTGGAACGCCAATCTCCTCGAAATTCGAAACTTAAACCGGTTTCGAATTTCGTCTCTCGTTCCAACGTAGAGTCCTCCTTGGGAAGCTATTTCGACCGAGTTTCGTGACTCTATGCCGTTCGTGCGTCCCTACGCGATGGAGATAAAAGGATAGAAAGTTCAGCAGGCAGGTGGAAAAAGTCGCTTAAAACCCGCAAGATCCCCGGCGTGGATAGGTGTCATCTCCTGCAATGCGGTTTTCAAAGTTTCCTGTGCCAGACTTTCTAGTCACGGCCGCTAATAACCTACATAGAACGGCTCGTTGCGCTCCTAGTACCAGTTCGATTCCAATTTCGCTTCTTTGGAACTCGCGCCTTTTTTCCCCTCCAAAATTCCGAATTACACTTTCGTCGAATGCTCGAGTCGGATTTATCCGAGTAACGATTCTTCCCATTTTGCCCCTGCGCCTCTGGTCGAGGTTATTTCTCGCGCGAGAGAAGGAAAGGTTGTCGTAACGCGTGTAATTCCGTGTTGGATGACGCTCCTCTTAACGTATCCTCACGATCTTCCGATCACCGTTCGAAAAGAAGATCGGCCGGGCGAATCGAAACCGTTTGGACAGATCTAATGCGCGGATGATTCCACGCATTTCTCCACGCGCTCGTTAAAACTCCTTCCTCTTTTCTTCCGCGTCAAGGGCAAAGTTAACGATGACTCGCTATTCCGAAAGGTGATCTAATAGAAGTGACCGACCGGTTAAATAACGTTATTCGACGTGTTTCATCGTGAGTCATCGATTCTAATAACGCTTATTTTTCTTCTTCTTTTTTTTTTTTTTTTTCCTTACTAAAATTTTCTCAAATTCTTCTCTTTTCCTTCTTACGATTTCGAACAGAATTTCTATTCGATGATTGCGAATGATATTCAATTCGATGCAGGATTACGGAATCAGGCGATGAAAAAAGCGTTGTCTGTTTGACCATCTGTTGCTGGCAATCTCGATACATCGATCAACGCTTTATCATGCACCGCGAGGCATTGATAAATGAACGATCGCGGGTCGATCAGTCACCGCGAATTAGCCTGTCCCTTGTAACACGCTCTCCTGCCGAGATCCTTCTCGTTTATCTGGATCTCCGATCTGGATACCACGGTCGCATATCTAATTTGCGCACGGGAGGAAGTAGAAGGGAACGGTTGAGTCGGGTTGCAACAGTGGAGGAACATGTTTCGGTGATTCTCTTTCCTTTCTCGTATGCAACAGCGTTCAGGGAGACGGCTAATCATCCGAGACAGCCTTTGCTCATTCAAACGACTCGTAAAGTTTCTCTTCTTCTTCGAAGTTCGCTTGAATCCTCCCGGTTCTCGTGGGAAAACGCTTAATTTTCGATCATTCCGAGCTTGGATGGTCCACCGTGAGTCAGGACGAGGCTCGTGACATCACTTCGTCCAAGCAATACCTCCGTATATGTATAAAGTCTGATGGTCCAAGGCCGGCGATGTGGTAATCTCGCGTTACGCGCGTCGCCTTGCCTTCAACCTCGAGCTCTCCACGCTCTCTCCATCGGTGGCCATAACCGAGCTCGATCCCGATTTATCGCAAACCGAACTTCTTCTCGAATTTTCTTAAAATTACAAATCGCATTTCGACGGATCGTCTCGAGTTTTGCGCGGCAAGGCTTCGAGGAATCCGTGGAGAGCCGCGATTCTTGGCCACGTCGAGTCTAAATATAAGCACGATCTAAGGCGATTCCAATCCTGGAATTTCGTGAAATTCGACACGAGAAACGAAACGAAACGAATCCTCCTCTTGAACAACGATTAGCAACGATTAGCAGGAACGCATCCTTCGGATTTTTAAATCGCGATCTTGAGACGTTACGTAAAAAAAAAAAAAAAGTTAGTTCGCTCCTTTCTTTTTCTCGCTCGAAAAGAAGCGAACTCGAATTTCCACTTTTCCACCATTGAAGAGATCGAAGTCGAGAGAAGTTGGAAAGAAGTCGCGTTAATTCGTGGATTTACCACGACACGCGAGTATCAACGTATCCAGGAAGATCTGACATTGGTTCGAGTGACATCATCCGTATTAATAAAAATTCTTATCCGTTCAATTTTTAAATTTCCCCGTTTCCTTTCCTCTCGCATATAACTGGAAATCGAGGAGGCGGGATCATCTCGTTACTCGAGTTTTCGGTCGGAAATACAAAAACACGAGGATAAACACGAGGAGGCGAGTGACATCATTATTTAATCGCATCGCAGCGGATTCCAGGCTGTTTTGCAACCGAGCAAACAAAAATATTGCGCTACACGCAACAGGAGGGATGCCCCGTTTCATTAGGCGGATTTGCATTGCGAATTTTCCGCGACACCAGTGTAAACACACCGGTGACGCGACTCGAAGCAGAGGAGGAGCAGAGAACGAAATTAAACGGGTTACCGAGAAGACTCGTTAACGCGTGTCGCCGTTGTGTAGCCGGAAGTGTCGGCCACGATTTTATTATAATCCTACGACGCATACGATCGCGCTTGAAGCAACACATAAATCATAAATGTTGAGCGGCGCGATTAACATAAGAAACCTGTCCGTTTGCCTCTCTCCATCGCGTGATTATTATCTCTCTTCTCTAAACGCGCCGCTCGCTCCAACGTGTCTCTTTATTCCCGTCTTTCTTTACATTACCGATATCTCCGGTATCCCGACTCTCGTTTCACGATCGACGCGTTGAAAAATCTCCGCGATTCAACGCGACGTTTATTATCATCATTCATTTAACTTCACGGATAATTTCAGAAAATTCCTTCCCACCAACCAATGATTTATACCAAGTAAGATTTCGAATTATCTATTTCCCTCATCCTCTCGAATTTCGAAACGATCGAAACGAGTTATATACGTTTTGTCCTCCCCTTCGAATTTCCTTTTATTTATTTTTTTTTTTCTCCCCTTTCTCCGTTTCACTCTCGATCGCTCGATCGAGTTTATCGGCGATTGCGCGGCGTCGACCCACGGATCGGCGTGCCGATCCCGACCTTAGCGAAACTTTGAGAACGGGGCCTTATCCGCCGCCCCCGCGATATCCACAAGAGGATTTTGCAACGTCCTCCAATCCACACCGATCCGGAGTGCGCGAGATACAGAGCGTATCGATTTTTTTCAATAATCAGTAATAAAAATAAATATTCCTTCTCTCGAATATTTCTCGTCACCTGGATCCGCCTTTTTCGGGTCGCCCAGCTGGCAATCCTTGCCGAGGCAGCACCTGAACTTGGGGTCACCCTCCATCGGGAACATGCTGAATATCGCCACATCCTCGTCCTTCTCCTTCGCTCTCCTTATCCTGTCCTCGCCCACCGTCTTGGTCTGCAGGTGGAGCTTGCTCGACAACCGTTCGCTCAACGCGTCTGTGGCCATTTCTGACTTCGCCCAACCCCTTCCAAATTTCAACCAGGATCGAAACGATCGTTCGAATTTTCTCCAAAAAGAATTGTTACTTGTTGTTACTCCTCAAAATGTACGTGAATGGCGTGATAATGTATCAAGAAGAGCTCGATCGAATCGTTTGTTCACGCCATCCCTCCGAATCGGAAGCGACGAGAGGGAAAAATCTTCCCCACTTTCCCTTGTCGATCGGGAGAGCGAGAAGAAGCGAGAGAGACCTGCTGCTACTATTTCGCGGCACACTCGACGAGGCGAGAGAAGAAAAAGATGAAATCGGCCGATCGTGCGATTGGCCCGGAGTCTTGCGAGCCACTGAAGCAGCCGAAGCCCGCTGGACTCACCGTGCACACCGCGAGCACGCGCAACGTGTATTCTACTCCGCTGATAAGTTCGCCTTTCCGCTCCACCAGACCCGCTCTCTCTCTCTCTCTCTCTCTCTTTCTCTCTCTTCGCCATCCTGGAACGCGAATATTTATATATTTACGCGCCGGATGCACGAAAACCAGCTCCTCCTCGAGATTTCGATTCGAATTCGGCCACGCGAGAATTTGGTACGAATTTTTTAATTCGAGAATGACGCGAGAATCGTAATATTCTCGATTGAATTGCTGGAGAATCGAGATTAGGAGAATTATTTTATTTATCGGTTCGAAGTTTCGATCGATGATATTTCGCGTATCCAGTCGTTCGATTAAACGGTATGCATCGGGAGGGGGATAATTGATATCCGTTTCAATTATAACGATCGTTCGATATTACAGAGAAGAGGGATTATGCCGTAGATCGTACGATTGGGAGGCGAGTAATTGCGGAGAAGAATTAGAATTCGTACGGGATTATCTCTTTCTGTAGCCGAAACGGTACATAATAATAATGGAAAAGAATATTCTCGTCCGAGCGAATCACGAGCTAATCGTTCGTGATTCATCGAAAGAATCGCGGCGAACGACACGTTTCCTCGATAAACGTACTCCTCGAGCGACGACGAAATGCGCTTGATTCGCATTCGCTCGATTCATCGTTCCGCTTATTATAATCGTTTGATCATCCATCTTGGATCGAAGATTCCCTTTTAATTCTTGCATAATCGTGGAAAGTGAATAATCGAGGAGCGTACGTATAAATATACATATAGATTCCATTTCTACGTAGTTTTATCTGCCGCTCTCAAGATTTAACGAGGCTTCCACGCGCGTCACGCGAGTCGAAACCGGAGGAGGAGGCACGAACGTGCCTCGTGCACCTCAGACTCTTCTTTCTTTCTCTCTCCTCCTCCCGATAATACGGTCGAAGAGCACACAATTCCTCGAATCTCGTTTATCTCGTACTTGACCGAATTACCCCGGGATAATTTCTCGCCGGAAGCTAGCCGCCCTCGAGCTGCCTTTTTCTTCTTCTTTTTTCGGCCCCTCCCCCCCCCCCAAAAAAAAAGAGAAAGGGAATCGCAGTAGTTGGTAGCTGCTCGCACGAACCGAGCCGCGAATCGAAAAGTGAATCGGCTCGTTAACGGGGCAGCCTCTTGTTTCCTTCGTCGTTCCAATTAAGTTAAGGAAAGTGGCCTGGAGCATGGCCACGGAGGTGAATCACGCGCGGTTATATGGGTCGATCCGTCTGCCTCTCCCGAAGAAGGTTGCCGGATAAATCGTATCTCTCCTCCCTCGATCCTCGTGCACATTCGAAAAGGATATATTATCCTTATATCGCGTAGTGGATATAATATTTCGATTAGAGGAGAGGAGAGCGCGATAATTGGGCCGCGAGAAGAAGGCCGAGCCTTGGCTCGGTTGCCTTAACGAGACCGTTCCGTGGTTCCGTTCCCCTCGTGTTTCGTATTCGTCGGGATCGGTGATTCATTCGACGGGTGATCGGAAGCACAGGTGGTGGTTTCGATCTTCGAGAGCGGTGCCGCGACCGTGGAAAGGAGGGGAGGGGGGGGGGCGGGGGAGAGAAGGAGTTATTTCGGGACGAAAGGCGATCGTATTCTTAACTCTCTCGTTGCTCGAGAATTTTTTGGAATTGGAGGGGGAGGGGGAGGGGAGGGGCTCGCGACAGGACGCTATTTTTGCGAGCGGGAAGGAGGGGTTTCGTGTTACGTACCGGCACGGAAGATCTCGCCGCATCCATCGCAACGGCTGGCGAATTGGGCGTCGTAGCAATTCCCGCAGTAGATCTTGTCCACCTTGCTACCGAATTGTTTGTCCACCAAGGACACTCTGCACCTGTTGCACAGGAAACAGGCCTCGTGCCAATGCTTATCCTTGTACGACAAATCCTGCAAACGAGACATTCGGTTTTTTTCCACGGGGATTAATTGCCTCTCGATCCTTAATCCGTTCGTTCCTTTCGAAACGAGTGCGATGGAGGGGGAGGAGGGGGAAGGAAAAAAAATCTATCAATTACTCGATTAAGGAGCTTGGGGAAACGAAATTATCGTCCATCGTTTTTACGATCCTGTAATTTCGACGCGGATAAAGTTCGAATTCGAAATTGTAAACATTCGATTCGACACGCGTTTGTGCGTATTGGAACGTGTTTCCATTCAAGGATTAGTCGATATTATAAAAACAAACGCGAACTCGTCGCCCTCCCATCCATCGATAACCGTGTTTGGCGTTTATTCGAGGCGAGGAGACGACACGCGTCGCACGTCCGTCGCGTGTGAAAGTGAATTTTCTTTAAAATTTGTTCGAGGGAAAAGAAATAAAATCTATTCGCGGATTTCCAACGATTTCTGGAGCTTCCCTCTAGACAAGAGAGGCGAGGGGAGAAACGGAAATAATCTCTCGAAGCTGATACGGGCACCTGCATCATCGTTTCTATTTCTAGGAATGAGTAAGTCAACGCCCATTCTCGTTGTATCGCCACCTCGTCGTTACACACGAACTGATAATTACCGATTTTTTGCGCGACACTCTCCTCGGAAATTCCTCGAAAAATATCTCTCCCTTTCTCGAGCCGAACCGATCGATCAACCAGTGCCGTGTGCCGCGAATCTAAATTTAGGGGAAAACTAGATTCGTTTGGATCGTGTCCAAATCCACGAATCGTCGTCGTCGTCGTCGTCGTCGTCGTCGTGGTCGCCGTCGTCTCGCGGAAGATCTATTTCCATCGATACGACGTAACTAAGAAAAAAGAAAATTAAGACAGGGGGAGGGAAAAAAAGAAGAAGAAGAAAGGAGAAATTCGACATTTCGAATGATCGAAATCGAAAAGGATTATCGAGTTTGCGGAGGATAATATCGTACCTTCGAATCGATACCGATGATTTTGTTGCACTCCTCGCATCCATTCGCGAATACGCTCTCGTAGCACTTGATGCAATAAGGGTGCTCGTCCCTCAGCACGTAGCGTTGCCCGGTCAAAGACTCGTCGCACTGCCAGCAACAGAAGTGGCCGCTGTGCCAATCCTTGCTCATCGCCTTCGTGTACTCGCCACTGAAAATCAACTGGAAAGAAAAAAGAGAACGCGGACAATTTAGAAATACGATCGAAACCGGATTTCTCCTCTCGGAATGCTTCTCGTTAGACCCGATCCCCTGATTTAGGAAAAAAAAAAAGAAAATCGATTCGAAAACGACGACTATTTCGCGACAATTTTTCTTTTTTTTTCTTTCTTTCTTTTCTTTTGGCAACGTAGAACGACAATCTCGTTTCGAATTCGCGTAGAACAACACGAAGCGCGACGATACGCGGATCCTTTTTTTTTTCTTAAAACAAGTCTCGCGTGCGATTTGATATATGATTTCCAGATTTACGCTCCTCTCACAGCGTGTGTTTTCGTCTCACGAAATTACCACCGAGCTCCGCAAAGTTCCTCGCAATCTCTCTCGTTCTGTTTCTCTCTCTTTTTCTTTCTGTTTTTTTTCTCGTCGCCGCAGTGTCTCGCGTATCTTGCGTATCTTGTGTTTCGGTAGATTTGCTGGTAATATGTACCTTGGTTGAGTGCTGTTGTATGTGCTGGCTGAGTATTTTTTGTACTGGGAGAGCATATAATATATATATATATACGTAGTATGGCGTATAATAAAGAAAGAACGCTTCGTATATCGTGTATATCGTTTTCAAGCAGCCTCTCTCGATCGTTCGATCGAGAGGATCTCGCGTCGCGGATCTTTGCTCCTGTGAGAGAAGCCTCCCCTCGGGGGGCGAGAAGTTGGCATTCGGTCACCCCCGATCCGATTCCCCGATTTTTCTCCAATTTAAAAATTTCCCGAAAAAACTTCAACTCTTCAAGCTCGCTCGAGAAAAATGGGCGAGATCGAAAATAATAATAATCGGACGAGGATGAGAGGGATTATAAATCGAAGTGGAGAAATTCTGGCGAACGAAGTCTGACAGTCGAATTTTCATCTATCGGGATGGAAGAAAGTAGGTCGAACGCTAAGAGACAAATAGAGCTCGCGGCCAAAACAGCTTGTTTTTCGCGTTTTCGAATTCCATCGATTCCTTCCTTTATATTTCACCGAGAGAACGCAAAAAGAACGATCTTTTTTGTCACTCGTTAAAAAAGAGATCAACGGCCAAGGGTGACACGACCAACACCTCGCTCGACGAGGGTTGCGATCGTGGATGAGAAGAAGAAGAAGAAGAAGAAGAAGAAGAAGAAGAAGAGGGGGTGTGGTGAAAAAACGTGATCGGGCCGATCCGAGTCAGATCTGCAGCCAGCACATACTCTTCGATGGCGTGGTGATTGTTCTGCGTGCTGTCGACCTCGGTGATCGTGACCTCGGCGTTCTGATCGTGGCTCTCCCTGCGCTTCGTCGTCTTCTTCACTTTGCGAACCTTACGCTCGGTGGTCGTGTACACTACACTGTCTACGTCCGCCATCCTCTGCTTTATTCGAGCTTGCTTTCCGCGCGCGTTTACCGCGATGTAATGTTCTCGGCTACTGTTCCACGGGGAAACGAGGAGCGAGGTGAGAGAAAAAGCCGGGAATTCGAGAGGAAAAGAACGAGAAGAGGAAGAGAAGGAGGAAGAAGAAGAAGAAAAGATGATGGCTCGATGATAGAGGAGAGAGAGAGAGAGAGAGAGAGAGAGGAGG